AGCCGGGCTTAACGTTAACATGGCTCCCTTCCTTCCCAGCAGAAAAATGGCTTTGCTCCACCCTTGAGCACCGAGCCACGCTCCACAACTCCGGCACAGCGATAACTCCCTCGTTAGGCGGCTCGCCCGCTTTCGGAGCCGGCCATCAGATAAATAAAAAGTTGCCACACTCGGCTGCGCTAAGCCCAAGTGTTGCAAAGTGCCAAAGATTAACGCCGCAGGAGCCCGAGGAGGAGCCAGCGAGGCCGGGCGAGGAGGAAAGGCCCGGCCCGGGCATTGCAACACGCGGGCGCGGCGGGGACTCACCGTGAGGGTGTCATCGATGTAGAGGGGGATCTGCCTCTTCTCGAAGGGGAACTCCTCCTCGCCGTCCCGGCACACCGCCACCAGCCGCGCCATCGCCGCCGCTGCTGCTGCCGCTTCCTCCCCGCTCCAGCCTGCGGGCGGCCCCGGCCGGAGGTAAACACCCGCCGCGCTTCCCCGCCACACTTTCACCAGCAGCCGGCACCCAGCCTGCGCTCCCCATCGCCTGATTCACCACGCCGAGCCCTGCCCACCCGCCCCGCCGCCAGCGGGCCGGGAATGCGGCAGCACGCGGGGGGATGGAGACCCCGCGGGGGGATGGAGACCCCGCGGGGGGATGGAGACCCCCGCGGGGGGATGGAGACCCCCGCGGGGGGATGGAGACCCCCGCGGGGGGATGGAGACCCCCGCGGGGAGGCGGAACCGCGGGCGGGGACCGCGGTCTGCCAGGGGAGATGGAGTCCGCGGGGGAAAATGGAGCCGCCGCCGCGGGGAGATGGAGCCGCCGCCGCCGCCCCCCGCCCGCCACCGGCCCAGCGCGGCCGCCGGGAGCCGCCCAGCCCGGCGCGGCCCTGCGGCTCCTCCGCGGCGGAGCCGCCGCCGCTGCCCGCCGCTGCCCGGGGCGCCCGCCCCGCCGCGGGTGCAGCCCGGCTGACCCACCCCTTCCTCCCGCTAGCTGCGCGGCCTCGCCCGGCTCCCCTCCCGCGGGGCCGCGCCGCCGCCGGCCCCGCTCCCCCCGCGGCCGGCGGGCCCTTACCGGCTGCCGGCGGCGCTGGGCGGCCCGGGCGCTGTGACAGGCGGGCGGCCCCGCGCTCCCGGAGCCGCCTCCCCGCTGCCCGCCCCGGGGCCGCTCCGCCCCGCTCTCGCGAGAGCCGCGGGCACCGCCCGGGCCCGCCCCGGGCACGGCTGGCTCGGCGCCGCCGCGGCCGGCCGCGATCAGCGCCCGCGGGCAGCGGCTGCCCGGAGCGGCCCGCAGCGGGGGTTGCGCCGGCAGCGGCTGCCGGCCCGGTTACAACGAGCGGGCCGGGCCGGGCGTTGGCGCGGGTGCGAGCGGCCCCGCGGGGAGCCGAAGGGCGCGGGGCTCAACGCTCCGGGGCACGGCCGGCGGAGGTTCCGGGGCGCCCGGCGCGGGGATGAGCTGCACCCGTGGCCTCGGGGCTCGCTCACACCCTGCCCCGCCATCGAACGCAGCTCAGCGCTCGCTGCGCTGCTGCCGAGACAGGCAGGGCAGGGTTTAACAGCTCAGTGCAGCCAGACCGAAATCCTGTGGCTGCCTAAATTAAGCAGCCAACAAAAAACCAACAAGGAACCCAGAGTCTTCCTTGAACTACTGAATAATACAGCTGACCTGTTCATTCTTGTTGTGTATGGATATAGGCACTAAAGCACTCAGAAGAAAATGAAGGGGAGGGAATAAAGGAGCAGGATTCTTTCTTGTGTCTGCATAAAAGTGGTGTTTAGTGGAGGAGCTCGTTTACTCGAGCTCCTCGTGCAGCAGCTGTAACGGGAACAGCGTGTGGAGTCACGGTTTTCATGGCTTTCTGCAGCAGAAAAGCTGGGGTTCTGTGACGAGGGATAGTTTCTCACACCAAACCACACTGAACCACGATGAATTTTGGTCTTTGCACGGGTGTGCTTTCCCTGTGTCACTCCTCCTTCCCACAACAACAGCATTGTCTCAGGTTCTGTATTCTTGGAGCACACATTGATACAAAAACCACCATTACATTTCAAACAATTTCTATCCATGGATTTTTAAGGGTTTTTTTTTTTAAGTTGCTGGAACACGTGGCTTGTTTTGTTATCTCCAAGGCGGTGGAAAGGCAGCCAGCCCCTTCCTGCGCTCATTTGCATGGCCCTCTTTGCCTGGAAGAAATACCTGTTCTCTGGGACAGGGTGGCTTTGAAATAGGATACTGCCTGGAATCTTCAGGGCAGCATCTGACTTCAAAAGAGACACCACTGCAGCTGGCAGAGGAGGCATGCTAGAGTTGATCCTTAAAAATAATGAGATGTGTTAAGGAGCTAGTGATGTTTAATAACAAGTTCAGGATAAATGTAATCAGCTCTACTCTCCCACCATATCCCAGCATTTTTCTACCCTGCAGCCCTACACAAAGGTCATTTGGTGGAATTATGGCAGCAAAGGCAAAACCATTTCTGTTTTCCTCTGCTTTACTATTGCTGAAGCAGGTGACACATGATGGTTGAACCATTAGTCTTCGTACTTGAAACATCTTTCAACTTTTACTCATTCTGTAACAATGAAATAGAAGTTTCTTCTTTTAAAAAATACACCTTTAATCTGTACAAAGGGTTCTTTGTCTAAACACAGCCCAGAGCGAAGTGAAATGCAGAGTTCCTGTTCCTTCAGCTGTGGAGGTGTGTGGAGAACAGCGGTGTCCTGGTGTTCACTTTCCACATCTTTTCAAACCCAAACAGAGCTGTTTGCTCATCCTGTGATCAAAGGATGCTCGCTTGCATCTCTGGGTTCTTTCAGAGGCCTGGGCAATTATCTTGTGTTCATAGCTGAACACACAGCACTCAGAACTACACCAGCTGCTTCAGGGCAGAGCTCGCTGCATTTGTTATCGACAACAGGCAATGAGAACTGCCTCTCATTAATCCACTGGTGAGCAGCCTGCAGAATCCCAGAAGCATTTTGGTTGGAAAGGAACTCTGAGACCATCAAGCCAAACCTGTGACTGATCCACACTCTGTGAACCAGCCCAGAGCACTGAGTGCCACATCCAGACCTTCCTCGGACACCTTCCAGTGCCTGACCACTTCCCATGGAGAAATTCCTCCTGATGTCCAACCTGGACCTTCCTCGGACACCTTCCAGTGCCTGACCACTTCCCATGGAGAAATTCCTCCTGATGTCCAACCTGGACCTCCCCTGGCGCAGCCTGAGGCCATGTCCTCTTTGTGTCACTTGCTGCCTGGGAGAAGAGACTAAAGCCACCTGCTACCGCCTCTAAGTTACTCCTCAGAGTTTCAGAAGCAGGAGAAGTCCCAGGATGAGGAGCTGGCCTTGGTGAGAGGGCAGCTCTCACTCGGGTGCACACCATCCCTGGGCTCGCTGCTGTTGTGGCAGCCACGCTGCAGCCCTGGAACTGGCACCACCAGCCCGCGTGGAGCTCGCCCACCAGACCTCCCACGTCCTCCCTGCTTCACCCGGTGCAGCTGGCACCTGGTGCCCTGTGCTTGTCCAGACACAGCTCTGCCTGTCACACCCAATCCGTTCTGAATCACACCGACAGGCTTGTGCTCACAGGCAGAACTCGCTGCAGGTCCTGGGCTTTAAACATTTCAAAAATAAATATCCATTAGTAAGTTTGCATAAATGAATAGTGCCAGTTGGTTCACGAGGGAGACCTTTCTTGTCTAGGAAGTGTTTCAAAAGAAACACATCCACCAGTTACCAGAAAACTCTGCTATAAACTGACAACTGTTTCTAAGAGGTTGTTGCCAGTTCTTGCATCTGTCCCCAGGATAATACAGGCTGGTTTGCTTTAATTCTCAAGACTACATGGCTTTAAGTTGGAAGAAAACAAGAATGAACCCAGCGTGGCCACAGCCTGTAATCCTCAGACTTCACCTTTCTGCTGGCCAGGGGCTTGGAGAACTTAATAAATTTATGTCTCTTCCACAGCATGTCTGTCTTAAAGAATCTGATTTAGAGGCTTATTCTCCAAAGGTCTGATGATTCATCACTTGTGATAGACAAGGGGAAATATGAAATATGGCCCATGTGTACTGCTGTAACTCCACTGACACCGGACATCTATCATCAACTACCATTGGAATTCTACTCCTAAAGTATTTATATCCCATTATTGAATTCCTCACAATCTTTAAGTGTATTTCTCTTCCCAACAACTTTATGAGGACAGGAAGAACTGTCACAGTCAGGAAAGGGAACACAGAGGGTGCTCTGCTCTGGCCTTGCAAGGAAGACTTGCAAGGAGAAACTGAGCAGTTCCCTTCTCAAGCCATTGCCAGAACCCTGACCCTGTACAGCCTGTTTGTTTGCTAATAAAAATTAATACCAAATGTCCCCACTTGGAGACATCTCAGCTGGCAAAATACAGTATTCAATGTGCTGGTCTGCAGGTTGGAGCTGAATTCATTTGGTATCTCTGTATTTTCTTATGAAGTGTGGTTCTTATTATCTGCACCACAACCTCCAATAACTGCTTTATGAATTCATCTGCAGCTGAGTTTATCCTTCAGAGCATCACACTTTATCTCAGGTCTTCATTTATATTCATCAGTGGGGACGGAAGTAAAATTTAGCTTTAATTCGAAGGCTAATTTAGGTTTCAGTGTATGATTAACATTCCACAATTACTACCATCAAAGTCAAGCATATGTATAAGTCTCTGCAGGACTGGGGCCAAAATATTTTCAAGTATCCACTTATTCAATACATTTTATATGAAGAATTATTCTTATCTATTACTTATGCAAGGGCCTTTACTAGGTAAATCTTGACACAGCTAGGCCTCTCTCTCCATATAATTACTCATCTTCTTACTTTTCATCTGGTTTCTGCTCTACCTAGTTATCTAATTCATTTGGTATGAGCACAGTTCACTAACTGTAAATGCAATTTACTCTCAGGAGCAGCAGGAATATTCAGCAATCTCCAAACCCAAGTTTTCAGGATAACATGCAACAACTCCCAACAGGTAAGATCATTGACTGTATAATTTGGTAAAATGAACCATTAAAGAGTAATCCACACTAAATAATAAAAAGCTCTGCTAAATTATACATTATTGCAACACATCCAGGAAAAATACTAATTTTTCCATTAAATACCATCATTCAACTGCAGCAAACAAAGTCCAGCTAGTCCAGTCAGCCAAAGTGGGCTCACCAAAACTTTAATACTATATTTCTGGCATGCAATATATACATAATTAAACAGTTAAAAAACATGTACAAGTGCAGTATGCACAATGTAAAGGCAGCCTTGCTGTGGATTGTGTCTATCAAGATATTCACAGCACCAGTCAGAACATTCGCTAGCAAGAAAAACAGCAATTGATTTTTGTTAATAGCACTAATGAGGCACAGCTGTGACAGCTTGTCCTGCCTTCCCACCGGCACGGCCTGCGTTCCGCGCTTTTTCCCGGAATCAGGGGGCTGCACAACCTCCCAGCAGCAGGGCACGCTGGAGCCCTTGACCAGCAGCTTGGCGAACACCAAGGTGAGGTCAGCGAGCAGGAAGAAGGCCAGCAGCAGCAGGCAGTGGGCGAGCACCCAGGCGCAGAAGGGCAGGTTGGCCAGGCGGCGGGACACGGGCTCCGTGCACGCCTGGCACAGCTGCAGCAGCACCGACAGCAGCAGCACGGCCAGCGCCAGCCCCCCGAGGGCTTCCAGCCAGCCCCTGACCGAGCTCCTGCGCCGCAGCAGCCACAGCCCCACCTGCACGCTCGCCAGGTAGGTGGCCAGGTAGCCAAAGAGGGAGAGCAGCCCTTCCCGGTTGGCATCGAGGAAGCCGAGCCGGGAGCCCCTGCCGTCGCTCCCGTGCAGGATGAACGTCTTCAGAGAGGTAGTGCTGAGGAGGAGCTGGTAAAGCACGGCCACGGCTAGAGCCACCAGCCAAGCCTTATGTTTGGGGAATATGGCTAAAAGCAGAGATGCTGCGAGTCTCACCAGTGCCAAGGTAAAGAAGAAGTTCCAGTGCACCCCGTACTCCGAGGTGTGCTCGTGGTACTCGATGGATTTAACACTCAGCAGCCGCCCAACGCCGAGGGAAATCAGCGGCCACACGGAGAACACCTGCCTGGCCAGGCCGGAGAATCTGGGCTGTGTCGTGTGAGGCTTCTGCCGAACCTCAGGGCAAACGAGAGCGTTTCCAAAGATGAAGGCTCCCACCCCCAAATCCATGGCTCCGGTGCCGTAGGTCTCGGCCTTGGCGTATCGCCGGGGATACTGCGGGAAATCCACGGCCAGAATGCTGATGGATGTCAGCACATTGACATAAACACGGAACACAGTTATTGCTGGAATGCACTCGGGGTCCAAGCATGCCTTCTGGAATTCTTTTACAATTTGCCCAAAGGGTACTCTGGCCTCCCGTTTTCTCTGGCTGTATATTTTGGAAAATATTCCGGCACAGAAGGCAGCGAGGATAAGTGGTATGAAAAAGATGACAGGAGACAAGACAGTGCAGGAGAACAGGAGAGGAGACACCAGCACCAAGAAGTCTAGCAGCAGACTGCACTTCCTTGAGCTTACAGGTTTTCCATGGTGCAGGTAGTAGAGGATCAGGAGGAGCCCTCTGCAGAGCAGGCACAGTGGAGGCAGGGACAAGCCTGCAGAAATTTCCAGCAAACTCGTTCCATTCAGGTTGCTGATAAAAGCTTCTTTCAGCTCTTTCTGGGACATTCTTCTTCCTTCCTCTGAAAACACAAAACGTGAACTTGAGGTAGCTGTGTAAAATGGGTCTCCAAACTCCTTAAAAATGAAACTCCTTCCTCTGAAAACACAAAACGTGAACTTGTCTCTGACAGTTCACAAAACCAACATTGATTTCAGAAGTTACTGAATTACTTTTCCATTTAAAGAACACAGAGCAGCACTGGAGCTGGCCTGGGAAGCCAAGGACATGCACAGGCTTGAGGAAGTGCCAGCATTTTTCATCCTGCTGTGTTCCAACAAGATGCTCCGTACATTTTTGAGGGAGATCTCTAAACATCAAATTCTCCTCTGAATATTCAAATGGTGAATAATCTCACAGCTCTGTAGAACATACTTTGCCACATCCTCTGATCCAAATGGCACAGAAATGTAAAAACGTGTCCCTACGCAACACCGTGCTGCCTGATGAGTACAACCAGCACCCCCCAGGTGCCTTTTTACGGCAGCAGCAGCCGCGGGGGATGGAAAAAGCGAGAATTAATCAGGGTTCTGCTCAGCCGCGGGGCGCAGCGGGAGCTTACCGGGAGCGGGGCACGGGCGGCGCCGAGGGCAGCGAGCGGCGGGGCCGCGGCCGGGGGGGACCGGGGCGAGCCGGGGCCGGGTGAAGCGGGGATGGGTAAAGGGGGGCTGGGGTAAAGCGGGGATGGGTAAAGCGGGGCTGGGGCGAAGCGAGGCCGGGTGAAGCGGGGATGGGGCGAAGCCGGGATGGGTAAAGCGGGGCCGGGTGAAGCGGGGATGGGTAAAGCGGGGCTGGGGTAAAGCGGGGATGGGGTGAAGCGGGGCCGGGTAAAGCGGGGCTGGGGTAAAGCGGGGATGGGTAAAGCGGGGCTGGGGTAAAGCGGGGCTGGGGTGAAGCGGGGATGGGTAAAGCGGGGCTGGGACGAAGCGAGGCCGGGTAAAGCGGGGCCGGGTAAAGCGGGGCCGGGTAAAGCGGGGCCGGGGTGAAGCCGGGATGGGTAAAGCGGGGCTGGGGCGAAGCGAGGCCGGGTGAAGCGGGGATGGGGCGAAGCCGGGATGGGTAAAGCGGGGCCGGGTAAAGCGGGGCTGGGTAAAGCGGGGATGAGTAAAGTGGGGCCGGGTAAAGCGGGGCTGGGGTGAAGCGAGGCCGGGTAAAGCGGGGCTGGGGTAAAGCCGGGATGAGTAAAGTGGGGCCGGGTAAAGCGGGGCTGGGGTGAAGCGGGGCCGGGTAAAGCGGGGATGGGTGAAGCGGGGATGGGGTGAAGCGGGGATGGGTAAAGCGGGGCTGGGGCAAAGCGAGGCCGGGTAAAGCCGGGATGAGTAAAGCGGGGCCAGGTAAAGCGGGGCCGGGTAAAGCGGGGCCGGGTAAAGCCGGGCTGGGGCAAAGCCGGGATGGGGCAAAGCCGGGATGGGGTAAAGCCGGGCTCGGTAAAGCACGATCGGGGTGAAGCCGGCCCCGGTAAATCCGGGCTGGAGTAAAGCCGGACCGCGGTAAAGCCGGGCCCGGTAAATCCGGGCTGGGTAAAGCCGGCCCCGAGTGAAGCCGGCCCCGGTAAAGCCGGCCCCGGTAAATCCGGGCCCGGTAAATCCGGGCCGGGTAAAGCCGGCCCCGAGTGAAGCCGGCCCCGAGTGAAGCCGGCCCCGGTAAATCCGGGCTGGGTAAAGCCGGGCCCGGTGAAGCCGGCCCCGAGTGAAGCCGGCCCCGGTGAAGCCGGCCCCGGTAAATCCGGGCCGGGTAAAGCCGGGCCCGGTGAAGCCGGCCCCGAGTGAAGCCGGCCCCGGTAAAGCCGGCCCCGGTAAATCCGGGCCGGGTAAAGCCGGGCCCGGTGAAGCCGGCCCCGGTAAAGCCGGCCCCGGTAAAGCCGGCCCCGGTAAATCCGGGCCGCGTTCCCCGCCCGCACTTTCGCCGCTTCCGCAGCGCCCCGGCCCCGCCCCGGCTCCGCCTCCGCCGCCCGCCCGCCCCGCTCCGCTGCCGGCCCCGGCCCCGCTCCGGGCCCGCCGCCGCGGTAAGTCCCGAGCCCGCCCTGCCCTCCCGGGCTGCCGGCACCGCCGCCGGGCCCGGCCCGGGGACACCGCGCGGCCCGGGGACACCGCGCGGCCCGGGGACACCGCGCGGCCCGGGGACACCGCGCGGCCCGGGGACACCGCGCCCGAGCGGTCCCGCCCGGCAGCTGCCGCGGCCCGCGGCGTCCCCGGCGTGTCCCTCGTGTCCCTGTGCTGCCCTTCGTGTCCCTCGTGTCCCTGTGCTGCCCTTCGTGTCCCTCGTGTCCCTCGTGTCCCTGTGCTGCCCTTCGCGTCCCCCGTGTCCCTGTGCTGCCCTTCGTGTCCCTCGTGTCCCCCGTGTCCCTGTGCTGCCCTTCGTGTCCCCCGTGTCCCTCGTGTCCCTGTGCTGCCCTTCGTGTCCCCCGTGTCCCCCGGGATCTGCCGGCACCGGCACAGAATGCGCTGCCGGGAGAGCGGGATGGATCGGACCGGGCTTTGGGGATGGGAGCGCGCCCGGGGACTCCGGGCTGACTCCGTGTGGTGTTTTCATGCCGGGTTAGGAAGGAAATTAGGGATGGAATGGGAATAACAATGGAATAAGAAGAGGAACTGAATAGGAACGGGATAGAGTGGAAAGAACAGAATAGTATAGAATAGAATAGAATAGCATAGAGTAGAA